ATTTTACTTTAAAGTCTATTTTGTCAGAGATTAATATTGCCACTCCTGCTCTTTTTTGAGTGTTGTTTGCTTGATATATTTTTTCCATCCTTTGAGTTTTAGTTTGTTTGTGTCTTTAAGTCTAAAGCGTCTCTTGTAGGCAGCGTATAGACGGACTGTGTTTTTTGTATCCAATCTGCCGCTCTCTGTCTCTTTATTAGCGCACTTAGGCCATTTGCATTCAGCATAATTATTGATAGGTATGAGTTTAGTGCTGTCGTTTTGATGTCTTTTTTGTGTGTTGTTCAGAGTTTCTTTGTTCCACTTAAGTTTCTGTGCTGAGTCGTTTTTCTTTATGTCTTTTCTTTTCATCTTTTTCATTGTTGTTGATTTTGTGTTTGCTGAGTCTTTATATTTTTCTAGTATTTGTATTTTGACTTGTAGGATTGTTAGTTTCATTTGTGGTTACCTTAATATTTATCTCTGTTTTTCTAAGTTTATACCAGTCTTGACTTCCTCTCCATATGAAAAATCTCTTTATTTTTTAAGTCCCTCCTTTTTGTTTTAATGTTGTCGTCTTTTACATATTGACATCCGTTTCCCTATTTTCAGTGTTTTAGCTTTAATTTACTTTTGTGACTTCCCTATCTGGGTTGATATCTGGTTGCTCTGTCCTGTGTTCTAGTCTTGGGTTGTTATCTGATGTTACTGATTTTCTAATCAGCGGACTCCTTTTAGTATTTCTTGTTGTTTTGGTTTGGTGTTTGCAAGTTCCCTAAACTTCTGTTTATCTGGAAATGCCCTAATTTTGCCATCAAATTGGAGAGAGAGTTTTGCTGGGTATATAATTCCTGGCTGGCAGCTTTTTTCCTTCAAGGCTTTATGTAAATATGTCATCCCATTTCCTTTTTGCCTGCATGGTTTTTGCTGAGTAGTCTGAGCTTATTCTTACTGACTCTTCTTTGTAGATGACTTTTCGTTTATCCCTAGCTGTTCTTAAAATTTTTTTTCTTTGGTTTTGGCAAGTTTGATTATAATATGTTTTGGTGACTTTTTTGGGGGATTTACCTTATGTGGGGTTTGATGAGCATCTTGGATAGATACGTTGTTGTGTTTCACGATATCAGGGAAGTTTTCTGCCAATAAATCTTCAACAATTCTCTCTGTATTTTTTGTTATCCCCTCGTTCTGGTACTCCAAGCACTCGTAGTTTATTCCTCTTGATAGAGTCGCACATAATTCTTCGGTTTTCTTAATTTTTTTAATCCTTTTATCTTATTCTCAAATAAGTTGTTGTCAAGTATTTTATGTTCGGTATTACTAATTCTGGGTTCCATTTCCTTAATTCTGCTCCTATGACTTCCTATTGAGTTGTCTGATTCTGACATTTTATTGTTAATCTTCTGGATTTCTGATTGCTGTCTCTCTATGGATTCTTGCAGCCTGTTAAATTTGTCATTATGCTCTTCTCTAATCTTTTTAATTTCCTCTATTGCCTGTTTTCCATTTTGCTTTCCTTCCTAGTTTCTTTTTTTTTTTTCTTGTTGAAATTTTTTTTTTTATTGTACTTCAGGTGAAGGCTTACAGAACAAATAGTTTCTCATGAAACTGAAGTACCCGTTGTTTTATAACATGGGTTAACAACCCCACAACATATCAGCCCTCTAACTTCTCAATCTCTTTTTTTTTTTTGGTGAAAATACACATAACCAAAGATACACCATTTCAAAAGTTTCTACACGCACAGTTCAGTGACATTGACTACGTTCTTCGAATTGTTCTGTTATTCTCACTTGAGATGAAGGCTTACAGAACAAAATAGTTTCTCATTTAACAGTTACTACAAATGTTGCCCTATGACAATGGTTAACAATCTCACAACACATCAACAATATCCTTACTCAACCTTGGGTTCCCTATCACCAGCTTCCTTGTCCCCTTTTGCTTTCTGGCCCTTGTCACTGGACTCCTGTACCTCATTAGTCTCATTTGGTTTTACGGGGCTGCCCACTCCCAGGCTGAACCGTGAACCTCGGAGGTAACTTCACCACTGAGCTAAAAGGGTGTCTGGGGGCCATACTCTCGGGGCCTAGCTTCTTGAAGAGTTCTGTATATTACTCTTTTATTCTGCCTCTGGTAATTCCATGAAATTTTCCTCCTTTGGAAAATTTCTAGATTCTGTGTTTTGGGAGCTTGCTGAAGCCTTCATGGATTGCCTCTTTATGTGATTTGATATTGATTGTTGTCCTTGAGCCATCAATAAGTTATTATACTTATTTATTTTATATTTGCTTTCTGTGTTCTAGCTTCTTGTTTTGTTTTAATATGCCCAAATTGGCTGCTCGTATGAGCTAGTTTGATTATTGACACCTTTGAAGCTGTAATGTCCCGTTACCAGGTGGTTAGATCTGTTACTAGGTATGTGAGCTCAGAAGTCTGCCCACTCCTTCTGTATGGATTCAGCTCAGGTGCCCAGGTAGATAGCCACCACGTGTGTGGTGTAGGCTCTCACTTACAGTCCTAGACAGGCATAGGTGATTGGTGTAGGCATAGGCATCTGGCTGCAGCAGGGGGACACAGTCTGAGCAAGGCAGTGGTCTGACGGTCACCCTCGAGTGTCCAGGAGGAAGGCGTGTCCCTCTTCCCTAGAGTGTGTCGGTGGGTGGGTTTTGGAGCCCGACTATGAGCACCCAGTGCTGTTGGCCGTAAGGGCTTGGGGGCATCTCTTATTCATGGGCCCCTATCGCAGGTGGCTAGGTGGTGTGGGTGGAGCCACCAGTCCTCAGGCTCCTGATGTGGGTAGGTGAAGACCCTGCTTAATGGGCAGAGTAGTGTCAAATGTCAAGAACCTGCCACTTTACAGCTGAAACAGTTGAAGTTATATTTCTGGTATATACCCTGTTGTACTGTGGTAATGAGGGCCTGTGCTGTTGAGATGGGCCCACACAAGTCTATCCAGGGGGAAAGGCACTCAGAGTCTGTGGATCCCTTACATCTGTTGCTAGGCCTTGGAGCTGTGCCTACCCTGGGTTCCTGGCTTAGGGAAGCTGGCAGTTTATTTTTACCTGTTTGTTAATTTGTTCACTCTCCAGGGCAGGGAGAATGGCTCCTGGCGTGTGACAGATCCTACTTTTGGCCCAGGGGACTTGGCAATTGCTGAAGCCAGTCCGGGACCCAGTGTAGATTAGGGATCAGGGAGGTGAATGGGAGAGAGGTTTTTCCCTAAGGACGGTGTATTTGATCCTCATGGTAAGCCGTACGCAAGTACTTGTCTTTCGCCAGTGAGGGCTGCTTCTTACTGGTTCTGGGTGGCCGTGTAGACTCTCTGGCGCTGGGTCTCTCCTGGTGTGGAAAACACGGCTCCTGAGCACTGCCGCTTGCCTGTCTCACCGCTCACCCACAAGCTGCTCAGGCCTGAAGGGCGCTGGCTCTTGCCGGTCAGGTCTGGCAACTCCTTGCTGCTTCCGAACTGTCTCTCCCTCCCACTGCAACCCAGTCCGGTTCCTCCGCTCTACCTTTGATGTTCAGGACTCCCAGATTGCCGTATATAATCGAATCACTTGTTTTTTTTTGGTCTTTGTTGTAAGAGGGTGTACTGGAAGCGTCTGACTACTCAACCATTTTGACCCCCCCCCCCACTAGTATGTTTTTGAAAGTAATTTTTCTTAATGAAAGTAAAATTTTTAATGTTTAAATCTGAGGTAATAGCATCATGAATCTATGTACTGAAGTTTTCTTATTTATAAGAATATAGAAAAACTTCTTTTTTGGAGCAAAAGAGAAAGTCTTTTTTCATAGGCCTTCAAAGTAGGAATGAAAACACTTCTCTAAGTGCATAAAATCAGTTTTAACTAGTTTTTGCTCTTTTTGCAGCTTCTCCTCTTAATAATGATGAAGGCTCTTTGGACATATATGCTGGATTGGACAGTGCTGCTTCTGGTCTGTAGATTCTATAAAACAGTTTCTTTTTGTTTGATTGGTCGTTGTTAGTGTATATTATGAGTTATTCCTGGAATAACTCACAGCTCCTGAACAGTTTGCCCTTTCTTTGAAGTGATTGAAAGTCTTATACTTAAGTAAGTATTTTCTTGCCCTAAGCTTAACCAATATAACAAATTAGCAGACAGGTTTGTTATTCATCTAGGTCTCAGATTTAATTGGACCTTGTATGAAATATTTTGTAACACTGAAATGCAACTGATGGTGGGGTTTGTACTATATTACTGTTCAGTCTGTTACAGATTACATAATATTGTAAAGCTTGAAAAGGATACTTACTATAAATATTTTCAAACAAATCAGCAAGATTGTGATGTGCAGAGTCTAATGACCTATCAAAGTTAGAAACCCTTTCCGTAGTCAAACCTTCTCCAAGCTTTGAACAAACATGATCCTCACATCTGATTTATTCACAGAAATATTTTAGGTAATCTCGTTTTCCAACTCTCATCTATGAAATCAGTATAGATTTGGATAAAATGCTGGAGATGGAGGAATTCATAGCTCTTTGAGATGGACACAGCATCAAAAAGCACAACGCATTTTAATGTAAGGGGTTTTTTGTTTGTTTTAGACTTTGCTTCCAAATCCTGTGTTCCATCTAGAAATTGTTTGGATTTATATGAAGAGATCCTGACTGAAGAAGGAACTGCAAAGGAGGCAACATATAATGATGTATGTATCTGCTCACTAGACATTCTGTATTTAAGACTAGCTCTTAGACTAAAAGAATATTTAAATCAGTTTCCACCTTCAGATCTTCTTTTTAAAAGAATGTTTTCTAAATGCTTGTCAAAAGTTAGTTACAGTTTTGCCTTATTAAATTTAAATGTTTTAATATATAAAATCTCAACAGGCAGTGTGACACATTAATCTGTTCATGATTTGTACTAAGTTATATTGTATGTTACAGCGTCCTGAGACTTAAAGCAGACAAAATTTTTTCGACTTTATTCAAATTTTTCTACTTTTTTCAAATTTTAAAGATTGAAGATTGAATGTGAAACTAAACAAAATACATTATTAAATAGGTCCAACTTTAAAAACCAGTAATCTTACTCAGTACCTGTCAGTAGAAGTGGGCCTCATCTACTCTTAGTGGGTTGATGTGCAGAATGTTAAATATTTTGAAATGTCATTCAAGCTAAGAAAATAATTTGGAATGGTGATTAAGTTAATGCTTTTATGTTTCACAGTTGCAGGTAGAATATGAAAAATGTCAGCTACAAATGAAAGAACTGACGAGAAAGTATAAGGAAATACAGACACAGGTAGGATTATAATGAAGATTTTATTTTTGCCTTTTTAAGTTTTAAAATGAAAATTTAATAAAAAAAATTTTTTGTTATAAATAGAAAGTAAAGTACTAAAAGTGTTGACAGTTTCTAAGGAAACTTGTTTTATCACTAAATGAAGTAGCAAATGTGGCAAAACATGCCTTATTTCCTGAGTTGATGAAATTGATACAGGTAAACTGCTTTACTAAATAGCATTGACATAAAAATTTTTTTAAACTTAGACTACTGACAGTTAAATAATAGAAAATTTATAGTGTTGATGACAAGTGTTTCAAAGAGAATAGTTTGAGAACCAAAGATTTAGAAAGGCCTTTGGGAAAAAAATGACCATGCCTTCACGGTTTTTGCCACAGTGACTCTTTTTGTGATCATGCTGCAAAAATCAGGAATATCATGGCCTGCTGTGATTGATTTTTATTTTTTGGTAAAATTGTTTCTGTCTTTCCTCATGCCCCCGAAGAATCAGTCAACCCTACATTCATTCTTTGTTCATCTGAGAATTAGTACATTGTTGCAAGTTTAACTTAAGTTGTTAGATATAATGAAGTTTTACATTTTTATTTTGAAGCTAATGACTTTGGTGAAATTATTTTTCCTGTTATTTATTTTTTAAAATTTGATTCAGTTTTAAGTAGTTTTACTTGAATTGCCTTTATCTGATGCCATTTATCTTCTCTGAATTTCAACTTTCCCATCTGTATAATGAGGATAATTTAATGGGGCTTTTTTGAGAATTTTAGAAGATAAAATGTATGAGGTCTCACATTAGTTAGCATTCAGTAGTTATTAGCTACAGTAGTAGTAGTATTAACAATTCCTTGAATACGTAGTTTATTAATGTATTGTATGATGCTTTAGAATTTCAGCTTAAAAAGTGAAAATCAGTCTCTTAAGAAGAATATTTCAGCACTTATCAAAACTGCCAGAGTGGAAATAAACCGCAAGGATGAAGAAATCAATAATCTTCACCAGAGGTATAATTGAGGGATGTAGGTCCATTTATAAATTACATACATGTTGGTACGTGGAATATATTTAACCTCGAGTGGAAGAAAATGAAAACCATGCATTTTATTAACTATTTAAGATTTTACAATGAGTTGGTGCCCTGGTGGCGCGGTGATTAAGAGTTTGGCTGCTAACCAAAAGGTCAGCAGTTCGAATCTAGCAGCCACTCCTTCGAAACCCTATGGGACAGTTCTACTCTGTCCTATAGGGTCGCTATGAGTTGGAATCAATGGCAATGGGTAGTGACTAATATTCTAGTGGTAAATTATCATAATGATGTATGTATGATATTAATAACAGTGCTACGTACCTTTCTGAATATATTTTGTTTCCTAATACAGTGGAATTTTGCTGTAGTACTTTCTACCCCTGAAAAGATGATAGTATATCTGTTATGGGTTCTTCTTGGCCCCTACTAGAGTGCTAAAATGTCAAGAGAGCATCTATGTTCGTTTCCCTTGTTCTGATAGAGAATCCTTAAACTATCTCTCAATTGTATATTCTTTTCCCTCTCACATGGATTTTCTCCATTAATTTCTCTCTCCCTTTATATATATATATATATATATATATTTTAAATTGTGCTTTATAGGTGAAAGTTTACAGTGCAAGTTAGTTTCTCATTAAAAAAATTTATACACAAAAAGTTTATACATAAATTGTTTCGTGACATTGATTATAATCCCTGCAATGTGTCAGCATTCCCGCCCTTTTCCACCCATGTCCGTTCGTCCAGTTTTCCTGTCCCTTCCTGCCGCCTTGTCTTTGCCTTTGGGCACGTGTTTCCCACTTGGTCTCATATGCTTGACTGAACTAAGAAGCACGTTCCTCGTGTGTTGTTTGTTTATAGGCTTGTCTAATCTTTGGCTGAAAGGTGGATTTCGAGAATGGTTTCAGTTTTCAGTTAGTAGGGTGTCTGGGGGCCATAGTCTTGGGGGTTCTTCCAATCTTTGTCAGAACAGCAAGACTGGTCTTTTTTGTGAATTTGAATTTTGTTCTATATTTTTCTTCTGCTTTGTCCGGGACCCTCTATTGTGATCCCTGTCAGAGCAGTTGGTGTTGGTAACTGGGTATCATCTAGTTCTTCTGGGCTCAGGCTGGTGGAGGCTGTGGTTCATGTGGTCCATTAGTCCTTTGGACTAATATTTTCCTTGTGTCTTTGGTTTACTTCATTCTCGTTTGCTCTAGATGGTATGGGACCAATAGATGTATCTTAGATGGCCGGTCACAAGCTGTTAAGACCCCAGATGCTGCTCACCAAAGTAGGATGTAGAACATTTTCTTTTTTTTTTTTTTTGAGATTATTATTTTTTTTATTGTACTTCAGGTGAAGGTTTACAGAACAAATAGTTTCTCATGAAACAGTAGTACACATATTGTTTTATGACATTGGTTAACAACCCCACAACAT